AAGTGTAAGACTTGTACACTAAAACCTACAAAAGGTTAAAAGAAATTTAAAGAAGACGTAAAGAAATTAAAGACATTCCATGTTCATGGAAGACTTACTATTGTTAAGATAGCAATATTCCCCAAATTGATCTATAGACTCAACACAATTTCTATCAAAATCCCAATGACCTTTTCTTTTTTTGCAGAAATTTACAAGCTTATCCTTAAATTCATCTGGAAATTCAAGAAATCCAGAATAACCAATCTTGGAAAAAGAACAAAACTGGAGGATTCACACTTTTCAATTTCAAAATTTACTACAAAACTGCAATAATCAAGACAACATGGTACTTGCATAAGAATAGATATATAGATTAATGCAAAAGAATTGAGAGTCCAAAAATAAACTCTTACATTTATGGCCAATTCATTTTGACGAGGGTATCAAGGCAATTCATGGTGAAAAAATACTCTCTTCAACAAACAATGCTGGGACAATTGGATATCCACATGCAAAGGAATTAAGTAGAACTTCTTCATCCCCACCTCTTGCTCTATACAAAAATTAGTTTAAAATGGACCAAAGACTGAAATGTAAGAGCTAAAAGTTGAAAACTCTTAGAAGAAAGCATAGGCATGAATCTTTGTGACTTTGAGTTAGTCAATGGTTTCTTAGCACAAACAACAAAAGAAAAAAATTGATACATTGAATTTCATCAAAATTAAAGCAACTTTTGTGTTGCAAATGATACCATCAAGAAAGTGGAAAGACAACTCACAGAATAGAAGAAAATATTTGCCATATATTTGATAAAGGACATCTAAAACTCTATAGCACAATAAAAAAAATAAATAAATAACCCCATGACAATTGCTTTCTATTTGCCTGGAGCCACAAAAATGAGAATCAGGAATAGGAGGAGGATATGGAATGTGTGGTTAATTGCCTCCATTAACAACTGCCTCCTTTGCCATGAGACAGAACTGGATGGTGTTCAGCTACCATTACTGAATATATACATTTTTTAAATTGTGATTTGGGTG